GTTATTATTATTGCTGTTGTTTGAACCCCGACATTGATAAATGACCCGTTTGCCCTTTGTACCGTACGGCAATTAATTATATGCTACACCAACTCCTCTGGATAAATTAACAATTTCTGTTTGTCGCTACGCAGATATAAAAGGAAACGCGACCTGCTGGATTACTAAATCCGGACCCTTTAATTCATTTTTAATGAGAAACAGCTTCGTTCTATTTCTCTCCTCTCGTTTTACAATCGATGTATATATTTAACAACAAAAAAAAACAAGTACTATAAATTATGTAAGTGAAAGGTGGGTGGAGTATGCGTGCGTGTGCAATTTCTGGAAATCGATATTTCGGTTGTGAGAGTGGAAATTTAATACTATTCGGGTAGACAGTTGATGCCTTCATTCAGTAACATCTCAGCTAGTTAGAAGAGTTCAAATGTTGTTTATACAACATTTAAAACTTCAATTTAAACTTTTTGTTGTTGTTGTACAACTTAACACCTCGTTAAATAAAGTTTGCTACAACTCGGAATCACCTGCATTTTTTTTTTAAATTTCGTATTAATAATGTGCATCGACGATCGAGTTTTCGATCTCGTGCAATTTGGTTTTTGCAGTCAATTATTTTCGTTGTGATTTATCTGAATTTGCACATACGTTCATGGATCTGTTAACTGTTTTTGGAACAACGGAGAGCGACATCCTATTGCATTAATAAACAATGTAATCAGTCGGCTTTAAATGGAAATGCAAAAAGTCAATTTGTATTCATTCAGTTTGTACGAATCGATTCATTAGAGTCGCTTTTATGTATGTAAAAGTATAGCATGTTTTTGTTTTCCACTGTACCAAATGCGTATCAAAACGCTATTTTCAATTATTTTTATTTTTTTTTTGTAAATATCGCACTAATTATCTGTGCACTTCTGCAATGTTTGATTCAACAATATATTCCAATTTATGATTGCAATTTATAAACTCACATTTCCATGACCCAATTTTTGATACCTTTTTTTAAGTACATTAACTTCATTTCAAAAGCAGATTGTTATATAATACTAAAGTATAACAATTGTTCCTCTGAAATTTATTGCTTTCATTACAACATAATTTAGCGAATACTGAAGACTACTTTAAATACTGTATATCTAATTGTATCTTTTCGAAAAAGTCATCAATCAATACTTGTTTAAGGACACAAATATGAGTAATATTTAATTCTAATCTTTTCAAAACCAAAGCATTTGCAACAACTTAATTCAATTCAACTTCACACGTCTGGGATACATCTTAATTTGTCAACATTTAGTTACAAATATTCTAATATTTAATTATTTCCTTTCAGTAATATTAATTAAAGTTGAGTTAATACAAAAGCATTATGTAAAATTCAGACTTCACATCGTGACCAATTCTACATTGTACGAGTTCGATTATTACCGCACAATCTAATTGGGATTTAAATAGATGTGTGTTCTGGGTTTATTATGGCTTGAGTGTCCGAACGGCCGGAAAATTTCAATTATATTTAATGATTTCCATTGGCGATCGGTGTTTAAATTTCGGCTCTGGGATGCTGGTATAATTTTATATATTTCCGCAATCCCATGAGCGATGGATGATAATAATAATAATAATAATGCAGAATATTTGTTCGTTTATCTGGCAAAGAACATATTTCAAATTAATAGCGGGATTTACTCCAATTTGCACCGTACTATCATAACGAAATTAGTAGGGCCAAATATTTACTGAAAACGATTTTGCTTCGTAATAAGATTAAATTATCTATTCGTTATGCATTCATCCTGTTTCATTAATTATTAATATTATTGTAATTTGCATATGAATATACCAATTCTGTCTGGTCTAAAATCTAACTACATGTTACATAATCAAATACCATTTACTACATTTATAATGAAAGGCTTCAAATTGAATAGAATATTTGATAAGGGCTATCGAATCTCAATTTTTCTAGAATTTATTTTAAAACTTTCTAATTTATTGAATATTATTTATTATTATTATGGCTTGGCTTAAAAAAATAGTTGAAAAAGTTTATGAATTATATAAATATAATTAAAAACCTTAATTACTAATGGGTATAAATTATTATTCCAATGTTATATTTCATTATACTAAAGAAAGTTTGGTATAAAAATAGTAAAAGAAACAACAATGTTTAAAATAAATGTATGTTAAGAAATGTTATTCTGAAAAGTTTGCACATATTGAATAAATAATTCAAATTTTCTTGATGTGCAATTGATAAGTAGATAAAAGTTGAAACGAGCTTAAGAATATTTGCATTGCGAGTTTTATGTACGGAATTATTGACGAAGAAAACCTATTAAAAATATTATACATATCTTAGTTGGAAAGTTCGTCGGTATGTCTGAGTCTGGATAGTTGGAAACAAAATATGTAAGTTTTAGTACTTAGTTGGAGAGTAGGTAGTTTTTAGTTTCAGAGGTAAAGAGGGCGGCGGCATTTCCATTAACTTCCGTTTAAAGCCGTGCTTGTAGGTGTGACTTGATGGTTTTTGAGGAGCTCTCGACTAATGGAGGAGGACTAGTGTCTCGACACTCCCAAGCTTATACTCATCCCGGCGCATCCACCCGATATCGTCGGCATTCAAAAAGAATTTTAATTTAAAAAAAGAAGAGAAGATCCAATGAATGATACCGGACCGCTTCCCATTCAATTACTAACTACGATAAAAGTGATTTTTCTCTGAAGCGTTTTCGAAAGCAATTTGCGCTTCGGTTTACTTAGCCTTAATTAAAATTTCATTTTATATTTT